AAATATCGTTTTCCTTTTATTATCTGATTTTACTATTATACTTTTGAATATGATGATTTCTTATTGTTATATAAGATTACACTTGTATTCTAGACCTTCAAATATAAATATTATTAAATTATAAATCCTAATTATTATATTAAGTAAATTGTTTAGATTTATATAATAAAAGTTAAATATAATATTGATAAATATAATGAAAAATGCTTTCTTTAATAATCCTATAGATATGTTAATATATTCATAATTGTTAAGAAAGATCGAGAATTTATAAGTAAAATTATCATTTTGACCATTATATTTATTAGCTTTATTATAAAGTTTTATAAGGTTACTCAAAAGCTAACCGATATTTATAAGTTTTTTAAAAAAAAAATTTTTTTAAGTAATATCAATACCTCCTAGGTCATTTCCTCCTTCATTTTTATAATATCGGCCCTAATTTGAATATTATTTCTTCTGCCTTTATCGTTTCCTTTTCTCTTACTTATATCAATTTTATTATTAGGTGGATTATTAATTGATTCTTTAGTTCATTATTATAAGACTATGTTATTATTAAACTAATAGGATATCCATATTTTTATTGAAATTAATCTCAATTATTTTTAATTAAGATTTCAGAAATTAAATTAAGAATGTAATTATAATGATATTAGAATAGCCTTAATATTAAATTATTAAATAAATCAAATAAATATTAGTTTTATTAGATTATAATATTCTTTTATAAATAATAAATTAATTATAATTATTTATTAAGAAAGACTAATAGTATAGTTTTAAATCATTAGTATTTATTATTATAATAATAGTTTTAATAAAAAAGGGATATATAGTTTATATTTCTTGACATCTTTATTTTTATTATTATTAAAACATTATAAATTATATATTGATTAGTGCTTTATCAACTATTCGCTTTAAATAAATAGTATATTTTATAACAAATAATATATATATATAGAATTTGTATTATAACTTATATAATAATTATATTCTAATAAATAGAAAATACTCTAATTTAAAGTCCTTAAAACTTACAATATAATCCAATTACAATTCCTTATTATAAAAGTCACTAAATTTATATTCATTCAATTTATATTTATAGAAATCTTATATTTCCCTTTCATTTATATAATTAATATCGAAAGAATAATCTTCCTATTTATTCATTATTGATTTATAATCATCAAGTATAATCTCTGATAAAATTAAAGATTCGATAATAAATTTAATAAATTTAATGTTATTGAATTGTTTTAGGACTAAATACTCGACATTTTCAATATAATGTTTTTAAAATATAGAAGAATTTATGAATAATTCTGCTATATTTAATAAATAAAAAATAGATAATAGAATATTAACTTTATTAAGATATAGCAAAGTTTGAGTTCGAAGAGTATAATGTTAAGTTTGAACTAAATATTATTAATTTTTATTCTTTAATATATATTATAATAAAGAATAGGATATAAATTAAAGTTAATGTAAAAACTATCGCTATATTATCAATTACTCTTATTCATATAAAAACAGATATCAAAACCATATTGAAATAATATAAGAGTTTATATCTTTTTAAAGAAATATTAATCTTAATTTAAATTATATATTGTAATTAAAATTAAGATATTAAACTTCTGATTTATAATATTATTAATTAATGTTGGTATTATTATGGAAATAGTGAAGTCAATATAGTATTATAGTTTATATTAATGTTATATTACTTAAGGTTCTAAAAGCTAGGGCTATAAAACGTATTACTGTAGTGTTGGAAGACGCTAGCGTCAACGCTAGCGTAGTCACATGATCCCTGTCCCAACAAGGGGATATATCGAGTAGATTCTAAGTCACTTAATAGATGTAAAGTCATAAGCATATTAAAGTATATTCAAAACTAATTATATATTCTAACTAAGTCTGAGTATATACTGAGCTATTATCAAGGTACAGGTAATATATGAACACTGATCATTAGGATCTAGTGAATAGCTTCAATTCATTAACTACTGTATTGCAGTCTTTAGCGAATGCGGGATACAGTAGCCTTTAGCGAAAGCAGAAGAGACTAGCTCCTCTTGTAGCGTCTATATAAGACCTACAACTTCCTATACTTAGCTAGCTCTTTAGATAGAATACAATATAGACATTTAGGACCTATGAATACCGTGGGTGCTACATCTTCCGTATCCTTCCCAAACCAACAGGTAAAGACTTATATTGTACCATAAGGGTAGAAGGACTATGGAAGGGTGAGGCCCTACTTATAGGAAGTAGGGCACACTAGTGGTCTATGCCTGAGGCACGAAGGCAACTACAGATCATGTAGTTGACGCCGTGACAACTATTTATCTTATATATTTAAACTTTATAATCTTATAACTTTTATATGTTTTCTTATTATAATGTTTATACTTGATATTATTAATAATAGAATTCTTTTTAACTTACTTTAAACTAATTAATTACATAATGTAAATTATCGTAGTAACGTAGTTTATTAGTGAGCGGGTTATATTAGTAAACGAGTTATCTTATTTTATATACAAAATTCGTCTGTGCGTAATTGTGTACTTTCTTTATATAATAATATAATTTAAAGAAATTTGAAAATATTGAAACTTAATTATATAAATATTATAAAAATCTAATTATTTATTAAAAAATTAAATTATTATAATAGTTATTATAAAAAAAACTTTTTTGTAATAAAAATCGTAATAATTTCTACTTTTTTTTAGAATATAATAGAAATATTATAAAAAAAACTAGATTTAACTTATAAAAAGCTAATTTTTTATTGTTATTGTTGGGACAGGGATCATGTGACTACGCTAGCGTTGACGCTAGCGTCTTCCGACACTACAGCAATACGTTTTATAGCCCTAGCTTTTAGAACCTTAAGTAATATAACAACAGTGTAAACCATAGTACTATATTGACTTCACCACCCCCATGGTGATACCAATAGTTATTGAAAATTCTTTTCTTTTTTCAAAATAATGATTAATTATTAAAATAAGAATATTGAAAAAGGCTTAATTTTAGTATATTTTCAAGTGACTCGTTCACTAATATGACCCGCTTGCTGATAAACCACGTTAGATTATATTATTAATCTCTTAATAACTCTCATTATAAAGCCGGGGTTTCCCCGGCTTAGTAACTATATCCCCGTGACAATTTAGAGCTAAAATAAATTATTTCAAAAAACCCCAAATATTATAAATATTCCATTTTATTTTTATTTTTTATAGTTTTTTCTTTTAAAAATAATAATTAATTATAAAAAGATAAATATTAAGAAAACCTTGATTTTAGTATATTTTTAAAGTGGTCTACATGCTAATGAATCACGTTATCTAAAACAGAATTAAAAAATTAAAAATTGAGATTCAAAAATTTTAAGGTTATATTTTCTTATTCGAAAATTTGCTAAAAGATTATATAAGTTATTCGATTATAAAAACTTTCATTTTTTTAATTTTTTAATTCAGTTCTTATATTGTATAGAAGGATTATACTTGTTATAAATTATAACCTTTAATTTTCAAGGGATTTATTAAAAGATTAAATTATGATTGAATTATTAAAATCGATCTTTTGAGTAAAGAATTATGCTTTACTTCTAAGCTGCCCTGTGAGTCCGTGCACCGACTAATACTCCCGTCAAGACTCAAAAATGCACTTGGAATTTTTCTATTAAGGTATATTTCAGTCCAAGTATATATTTTATTCAAGTATCTATGATTGTGCAATGTGCATATCAATCTATCAATCACCTCTCTGCCAAATTAATGAGGGAGAGGAGAGTATTACTGGGATTAATATACAGGGGTAGATAGAGGATTGATTTCTCGGGGTGAGAGCAGAATCTTTGATTTTTGCTTGAATTTCTTGGTTTGGGTTGAGGATTAGAGAGGGAGGAGGGAGGGAGGGAAGGAGAGAGGAGTGATATGATGTGGTATGGTGGTGGTAGATGAGGATTGGGGTGGTGATTGGGATGGTGATTAGGGGTGCTGACTTGGCAGTGGAATCGGGCTTTGAAAGGGAGGGATACTTGGGGACTGGTGATTGTGGTGGGATTGATGTTGGGGATTGGTAGTGATGGTGAGATTGGGGCTGATAGGGTTGTGTTGTGTGCTTCTTGAGGGAAGGTGGGGGGGAGGGAGGGTTTAGGTTTGTAAATTTGCTATGCGATGTTTGATGGTGGAGATCTATTGAGTTATTAATGATGAGTCTTTACTGTAATGGGTATCGAGGTTTCTGTAGCAGTCCGCAGCAGTACCTAGTGATAGCATCTCTTTATGTGTTTTTATTATGGAGGTCAAGATTTGTTTCACGCGAATAATTGATACTGGATATTCAAATCTAATCGATATCTTTCTCATGTCTAATATCAAAGTCAAAATCAGTTGAAGCGGAAATCTAAACGAGGACCCCCCATACTTATGGTTAGAAAGATGGAAGATGGGTATTGTGGTGATGGATTTAAAGTTAGAGGGAGAGAAAAGGGGTTTGGTGCTATGGAATTAGATGTATACATGATGTTGGGTAATGGGAACTTGGAAGATGGAATGATGAGAATACTTTTTCGAATGGATGGAAATTGGAAACCCATAATGGTGTGATGAAAGAAAGATAAGATGAGATTTCGGAGGTGGATGGATGGATGTGTTTGCGTGTGTGTGTTTTGTTGGAGATCAGGGGGGAGTGGGATCTGGTGGTGAGATGGGAGATGTTAGGGATTTTGTGTTTTGATTCAAGATTGTGATTGTGTGGTTTGTGTTGTTTGAGGTAGGAGTTTCATGCGGCATGGATAATAGTGCCCAGCTGTATATCGTGATGGGAAAGTTTGAGGTTTATGATGTGTGATGTTTTTGAGAGCTCGGAGTATTCATCTCGTCATTGGAGGAAGAAGTCGTTTCTGTGTAGCCACGGTAATAGCCAACGTCGATTAATCTTCCCAACTTTCACTGTTCAGAGACATGGAGGCCTCAATTGGTGTATGCGGGTTGTTGTCGTAGAATGAGGAAGTGAGAAAGGGTATCATACTGGGCTGCCATCTTTATCGGCCACGTCTCGAATCTGGAAATGGGCGACTTATATGATTGATTTTCAAGGCTCTTCTCGAAAGCTATTCGCCTTTCGAACTTGATAAGAGTGTATATAGCCTGACACTAACATGCAGAATCTTTTACCGTATATGCGAGCCCCTCCTCTACTTTCGATACAGCAACGAAGGCCAATGCATTGATAAGCTTAGCCAATTTATTCGAATGCTCATATAGCGACTAGATCGATGGCCTGACTTCAAATCTTTTTCGATAGAGTGGGGTCCTAGAACATCTCATGGATCTTTGAGCATAAATCAACACATTGAGATGCTAGTAGATGTTCCGTTCTTGAAAACTGCATTAGATCGGCTTCCAGACGCAATTTACAGGTTACAGAGCCGATCAAATGGCAAGATTGGAGAAGTAGAGAAAATGCAACTTTGCACAAAGTGTGTGACAGATCTTGCAGAAACATTCAAACGACTATTGGACGTGGGCGATGTTCAGCCTTACTCTAAGCCATTAATTTACATGTTCACTATTCTAAGCCCCTACATACAAAAGCTCCAGATTGAGATTAAAAGTTCAGGAGGATATGATTCAGGTCGTCCTTGGCGGTCGCAAATCTTCCCAGAGGCAAGTCATCTCAAATTTATCTTGCTTAAAGAATTCCACCACGTTACAGTATCAGCCCGCAGATCAAAGCCCGAGAGAGGCCATTTCCATATCAATACTTTCCGCAGAACAGCACGATCTTTTTGTGAGAATACCTACCCTGAAGAAATTGAAACTCCGTGGCTATGCATTCAGTCTAGAGCCGCCCTCTCACTGGGTTATAAAGCCAGGGTCGTGTGGGTTAGGATCCCTAACCTCATGTAAAATTTCAGTTCTACTTTTGCAGAATGGATAATATAAGTTGGGTACCCTATTTTCGGGCCATTTCTGTTTTGGGTCACTCCTTATCACCAAAAATCTCAAAAAATGGAATTTTTAACTTTCTTATTTATGGATAGAATTTATTGAAAATTTGTGTATATATAATTCAGATCGTTTTGAATCTAATCTGAAAATTTTAGATTTTTAGGATTTTTTGTATTAAGATTTAGAACTTTAAAATATCGATTTTTTAATTTATATAAGAATTACATATAAATTTAAAACTTTTATAAAATCTTTAATAATTTTTTAATAATAATTATGAAAAGAAAACTATATATCTTTTTGAAAGTTTTGAGTTTAAATTTATATAAAAATTTAAATTTTTTTTTTAAAAAAATTAATAGATATAAAGATATAGTATATAATGAATTTGAAATAGTATAAATAATCTCTACAATTTTGAGAATGTTCTTTTAAATATTTATTTATAGGAAATTTACTTTTTTTTTAAATCTTTCAAAATAAATATGTTATAAATTTTTATTAAAAGTTATTAAAGATTTTATAAAAGTTTCAAATTTGTATGTGATTCTTATACAAATTTAAAAATCGATATTTTGAAGCTTTAGATCTCAATACAGAAAATTCCTAAAAATCTAAAATTTTCAAGTTAAACTAAAAATGATTTAAATTATATATATATAAATTTTCAATAAATTCTATTTATAAATAAGAAAGTTAAAAATTTCATTTTTGGTATAAAAAGTGGCCTAAAAGGGGGGTGGCCCGAAAGTAGGGTACCCGATTTACTTGTCCATATTCCAAGAATCAAAGCATTTCTCATACGATGGGACTCTCAAAGGCATAATCCGCAGAGGAAGGCCTATCGACGGTTCAGTCACTCCCCAATTTCTTGACAAACTCATGGAAGGCATCTTTGTGCAAGAAAATAGCTTGGAGTCTCTGTCTTTGATAGGGATCCGTAGATCAATATCGGACCATACGCATCTTGGGGAGAATGATATTCAACTAGTGTTTTTGGTCTGCTAAGTGAGAATGTTTGGGGGGTCCATAAACCTAGGAATTGAGCATGAAGGCTATGTCAATAGTACCAATGGGTTCGCTGAATCGCCTGTAACAGAGTTTTGGTTTGTTGAATGGACAGAATATGGGAAGAGGGATAAAGAGCTAAAAAGATTCACGAAGTGAAGACAATGAGATTATCACTAAGAGAATCATGGATAAAAACAACATAGATAAATGAGTTATAGATAAAAATCCCAAGGTTAGAAGAGATACAGATAAGGAGGGAATATATGAAATGAATGAAATGAAATCAGAATGACATGTATCCTAAAGAAGCATTCCAGGTCCCTTTCCCAGATTATAGATAGTAGAATTTCTGTCCTAGTGTCTGCCCCAGAATTGCCTCAATCAAGCTTCGAAGCTTTAATGGCTATTCGGGGTCGGGAACCAAAGCTGCAATTTTGCTCCTTCCGAGAAACTCATTCACGTATTAAACACAGGAGAAAATGGTGCTCTTTGCCTTTGATGAGTTACCGATGAGACCACAACCTCGTGGCATTCATATGATTGTGATTTCTCTTGTTGTCCAATCTGGATGCTGGAAATTGCCCCTAGGTGCGTAAATGTCGAGGCACCCAACTCGTTGATATACATCAAGGCTTCCAGTACCCTGGAGAATCAAAGCATGCTTATGGTTCTCCGGAAAATTTGAAATGCTGACTAGCAGAACCTTTGGGTGGTAATCCTTACATTCGTTCGTAATCAACGTACCTTCCGATATGTGTTCAACGGCAGAATAAGAATAGGGGTTAAATTCTTTCGCACTGACCTGGGCTGGATGCTCAGGACAATCCCAAAAGATTGATGGGATTTTATGGCGGCAGATTTTCAAAGTTGGCCCTGAGAGCTTAACGTGACGTTTATTTATTATCCCGAAATGGTTGTCGTTCTCGTTATCAATGATTATTTCTTTGATTTCAGCATCTAGCTGATATTTCGTATTATCATGCCTTGGGTCACTATAGATTCGACGGGTTGGCATAAGGCTGGCACTGTTTGAAGCCCAACTCCAAGATGGTGCGATGTATTCAGCATGCCGTATGAGTGGCAAACCGCTATTGTAAAACCTTCGCCAAAGGAGGCCTCGGTGGAAGTCATGTTCCCAAAGACCTGCCTTGTACGCAGAAGGAGGTTGCCCCATCTCTTCGGCTATCACCTTTGCGATAGCCGAGATACCAATTAGTGTATCTTTTCGAATGGAAATATGACGAGTAGTATAATTATTCACGATATCATACCATGAAAGCAATGTTGTCTTTCTTTTCTTCATATTTCGGGATATGAAATCAGCTTAATTGTTGCCTGTGAAATACCAATATTGGGGATTCAATGCTTGAGTGGGGGATGCCTCTTCGGATTGTTGCGTGACACATCTCCAGTACAATTGCTCTTCTCCGAAACTAATCAAGCGTCGAGACATTAGATCTTCTTGTAAAGCCCAAGCACGTCTTCTGAGACAACCAGCACGTTCGAATGGATTCGAATCTACAATATCCCTTAGATAAACTCTCCCATACTCTCTAGAAGTGCTGGGATGATAGCCTTCGATCGAGAAATTGTATTTTTCGCTGTGCCGTTTGTGAAAAGCGTTGCTACTGTCAAATATTCCAGAGGCAGTATCTACGGATGCTTCTGCCGCAATTGTCAAAGAGGCGCCTCCATAAACATCGGCCATTTTGAGGGATTCCACGGCCCAATCTTTCGGCGAATCTTGTATAATACACAAAGAATCAATCCAAAGATATCTGTAGCCCATTCGACGAGTGATGACAATGGCATCTTTCATGGTTTGAGGAAAATTAGACATAGGTATTCGATTGTAATGCTGTTGAAGGTTTTGGCTCGTTGTTACCGCTGTAGGTGAAAACCCCCAGCAATAACTCAAAGCAACCCAACTGCCAGGTCTTTGATTGGTTTCTACCAAAAAAGGATCCCCGCCTTCGAGTTGTACATCTATAACCCTGGTTGGTAGTTTTTGGTTAACCTTGCCTCGATCCTGGCATTTCTTGTGGTTCGAGAGACATTGTTGTAACCAGGTGGACATAATGCTGAAGCTCTCTTTCGATGAAACATCTAACGATAGTGGTCTCGAGGGTAAAAATTTGGCTAGCCGATCGTCTTGACAGAAGTTAGCTTTGATCTCTTCATCAAACGAACCCTATAGCAAGGTCTAACCTTCCGTAGTGTAAATGCCCAACGAAAATCTTTCTCTGTTAAATTGCCATATTACTTCCCGTTTTGAAGCAGAAACAGATATCCCCATAGAGTCGAAACGGCTGCCTCGAGGGTGCAGTGTACTTAAAGACTTGTGTACGATGTTGCAAAGAAAACATCCACTGTTAGCTGCGTCAAACGTGTCGCATATGTTACGCCTGATACTGTTGTAGATATTCACTTTGAGACAGAACTCGCAAAGGAATGGAACTTCCATCAATAAAGGTTGTGGTGTCTCCATCTTATGAAAACAACGTCGTTTAACAAACTTTCTGGTAGTCCTAAAACTCTCTTCCTTGGTCCTCAATACTGTATTGCTATGTCTAAGTATTAGTTTTTGTGCGATGGCTTATCAAGTGCTAATCGCGGTGTCGTCTGGATTAGCGCCAAACTTTCGTACACGGGGTTGGCAAAGCATTTACAGGGATCTTGTACTGCATTCTTATAAGGGCCAAAAAAACATGTGATGAAAGAGCGTCTTGGATATGATTGGATTAATTTTTACATATACATTTTAGCCTTTTTAATGTTGCATGCACTCAAGTAGAGCGAATAGTCACTCAACCAATATTGAACTCGCTCGCAGCAGCCATGTGCTCCTTCATCTTCCTCTTCATTCTCGCGGCAGCTTCATTACCATCCACAGTAGGCAAGTCCAACTCCATTTTCTTTTGTTTCCGCACTCTTTCTCCCTCGGGAGCTTTATCTTCTGCTTTCTCTCCTCTCTTCGCTTTCCTAGCCGCGACACTTCTATCTGCTTTGGTCATCTTCGATGGCCTTAATCCTGGTACTTTGATGCTTCCGGGTTTGTCTCGTAAGGCGAATGCCTTTGCCAAATGGCCCAAGTGCAATTCTTGCATATTAAATATATGTCTCTCATTTGCGACGTGAGTGGCATACGCCCTGATATGACTCTGGTATCCACGGCGTGCCATCTCAAGATATTTTGGCGAGTCTAGACTCCATCGTTCAACTTCAAGTTGGAAATTCGTAGCTCTCTCTTCCCATTCGCGACCTATACCACCGAAACCCTTTTGTATCAAATCCTCAGCCGTGTGACGTGTAAGGGCTTTCTTTCCTTCACGATATCCAGATGCTAAGATAGAAACATATTCTTCCTCGACGCCAGGCATAAGGAAGATCAAAGCACGCCCCTCGCGACCAGCTCTAGCTGTTCGACCAACACGATGTAGATGATCTTCTGCGCTAAAAGGTGGATCATACTCGATGACAAAGTCAACATTTGGAAGATCGAGACCTCGAGATGCAACATCAGTACATATCATCACACAAGGGTCCGTAGATTCGGAAAATGCCTTTAGTGTTGCTGTTCTGATGTTTTGTGCAAGAGACCCGTGAAGTTTGTGTAATATTACAGGGTTTGAATTATTCGAAATGGTAGTTCCATGCGCGATAGTCTCTTTGACCAATTCTGATTTTGGCAATGCGGGGAGATCAACCTTCTCCTCGTCAGCAACCTCAGCCGAAGCTTCTGGGGTGCGAGAGAAGAGCGAGAAGTGAAAGTCAACAGAGTCAGCACAAGAGATGAAAACAATTGCCTTCATCACGGACCCTTTTCTTGCAAAAGCACGTTTCAAGAGAGCCGTTAGGGTAACGAGTCGGAGCTTCGCAGGAACGATAGCATATGACTGCTTCAATTGCGTAGGGGCAGAGAAAGCTTTGTCTTGGGGTTCGATGCCATTTTCCTTGTCTAATTTCTCTTGTTCGGAAGGGTCCGCTTGAATGTGCACAGCATCCTTCAAACTGATTTCCCCCAAACGCTGAACATTCATCTTCATCGTAGCAGAACACAAGATAGTAACTCTTCGCTTTGGAAGTGACCCCATGTCTGAGTTTGCTTTTGCCACTGATCTTCGGCCTATTTTCTCAACGATGCCTTTAATCTCTTCCTCGAAACCAAGCTCCATTAATCTATCTCCTTCATCCAACACCAACCATCTTACAGTAGCAACATTTAACACTTCTGTGTTATCGAGATGATCTGCCAACCGTCCCGGTGTTGCGACGAGAATGTTGACACCCTTTCGAAGTCTAGCCTTTTCTGATTGCTTACTCTCTCCTCCGTTGACGGTCGTACCGACAATCCATGGCGCACAGCGTAAAACTTTCTCCAGAACAGCTGCGATTTGTTTGCACAGTTCTCTCGTGGGTGAAAGTATAATCGCAAAAAGTCCAGAATCTCGATGTATTTGTACGCCATTCTCACTCAATGCCAATATTCGCTCAACTATAGGTAGTAAATATGCCAAGGTCTTTCCAGATCCAGTCTCTGCTTGTATGAAGGCGTCGCTATCGTCTGATATCAGCTGCTGTACAGATGCTTTTTGAATGGCGGTTGGAGCTTTCATATCGAGCTTAGTCGATAGATGGGCTGCAAGCCTTCTCGATAGTCCTAGATTGGTGAATGTTGCCATTTCCTCCGTCAAAGGCGCATTGGATGGTTTTGCTGGTTCCGCTTGTTCTTCGGGTTCATCGAAAGTTTTCTTTGAAGTTGGATTGAATGTGAATAGAGACGAGACAACCTGGCCTGGTTTCCTCCCACCCTCAGCAATTTCGCGGTGGACAACGGCCATTTCACGGTTTCGCATACCGTCGATGCTACCATGTGGGAGCTTTCCGGAGATATAAGCCGGTCTCGTTTCATCCTGGAATGAAATAGCCTTCTTTGCGCCAGAATTTATACTGCCTGGAGGCAATTTTCCGGAAGCATACGCTGCTCTACCCTCGTCCTCGATTTGGGTAGCCTTCTTTCCACCAATATTGATACTCCCAGGAGGCAACTTGCCAGCGACAAATGCTGTTCTAGGTTCTTCTTGGAAAGTGGTCTTCCTACCTCCTCCAACATTTATAGTTCCCGATGGAAGCTTTCCGGAAGCATAAGCTGCTGTGTTTTCATTTCTTCCACCGTAAGAATTGTAATTGTCATCCACTCGTTGTCGCTTTGGTGCTCTTGATGAAGCCCCGTGCCCGATGTACTCTTCCGCGCTGGTATCATGTTGTGGTTCAGAGAATATTTCTCTTGCCGATGGTTTATTCGTGCTCTTAGTGACTCGGTGCTGCGCAGTTTTCTTCGCAGCCAATCGATCCTTCCAACGTCCTCCTTTAAATGCTTGTTTCGCAACTATAGGTACATCCCCAATCTCAAAATTCATTAACATTCCATCGTCGGCCATTGTTGCTAGTTTGCTGAAAATTCGATCTGAAATGCTTTGAAAAATCCAGAAACAAAATGCGCACATGCAGAAGTTTCGTTCCAGAAAAAAACTTGAGCTTGGACCACCATCCCTCAATCCCACCAGTCGCGGGAGGTCTAAGCTATTCCTGGACAAGCGTTATTCGAGCTCCAGCAAATATCAAAAATTATCTCGGGCTTCATTCTACGCTGCACATACCAGAACAGGATGACTCAAATTTATATTTCTTGCCGATATGGACCCTAATTGGGTTGCAAATATCAGTTCCACATTTGTATTAACATTACATCTCAGTTTGCAGTACAAGAGCTCAAATTGTTCACGATGATGTCGTCCCCCATGCGCCAATCCATGTTGCCCCTCCTCAGATCGACTACCAAGGTATTCGGCGCACCACGAGCATTCTCGACAACTTCTGCCCTTCTCCGTCGAGTCGCAACTCCAACTATACCGGGTACTTCCATCAAGATCTTCCGAGATGTGCCTGCTTTACGCCAATGGCGCCGTAAACAATTAATAGATCATCGAATGGTCGGTCTCGTGCCAACCATGGGAGCTCTTCATGAGGGTCACCTATCACTTATCCGCCTTGCTGCAGCAGAAAATTCAAATGTCATAGTAAGCGTCTACGTTAATCCGACTCAATTTGGCGTCCACGAAGATCTTGATAGCTATCCGAAGACATGGGAAAAGGATTGCAAGATGTTGAAGGGACTTGATATGGAATTGGCCGACAATGGGAACATGGGTAAGATCGCAGCTGTATTTGCGCCCACGACAGAAACAATGTACCCGAGTGGACCGCCCAGTCAAGAGGTTAACGCGAAAGGAAGTTTTGTCACCATTACACCTGTTGGAGAGCTACTAGAGGGGGCAAGTCGGCCAACATTTTTCAGAGGAGTGGCTACTATCTGCATGAAGTTGTTCAATATTGTCATGCCAGATAATGTTTATTTTGGACAGAAGGATGTACAGCAGACTGTCGTGATAAAGAAGATGGTTAAGGATTTCTGTTTCGACACCAAAGTTGTCATTGGAGAAACCCAAAGAGAGCATGATGGCTTGGCATTGAGTTCACGAAATGTTTACTTGGGAAAGAGGAGAAGAAATGTCGCTACAGCATTGTCAAAAATGCTTAAAGTTGCGGAGCAGGGATACAATCTCGGACATCGATCACGAGATGAGCTCCTGGGGCCTGCATTAGAATTGTCGAAGTTACTGTTGATGGAACAGCATCAATTGAAGCCCGAAGAAAGGGTCAGATATGAGGTAGATTATATCTCGTTAGCTGATCCTGAGACGATGGAGGAAATAGAGGACGTTGACGAAACAAAAGGCGCGATCTTGAGCGGCGCAATCAAGATGTTGCCAGTGGAAGCACCACAAGTTGGAGAGGATGTCGGTTTATCTAATGGACCTCCAGTCAGGTTGATAGATAACATCATATTGAAACCTGTTAAGGTCTAAGCTGCTAAGATACATAGATAGAAACCACATATACTAGAGAATAAACGGCAGTTTTTGTCCTCCATCTTCATCCCGATTGTTCCAAACTAATGTACTGCAACAAGCCATATCCACAAAACAAGCTCATTGAAAACACATTCTGTGATGT